AACTGGATTAATGTTGTTGAATATGCACTCGATCTTGTTCGATTTGAATTGATTATTTATATATATATATATATATATGCATGTGCATTACACGATTATATTATATGAAGTGAGTGTACTTGATTGACTGAGGTGGCTCGTTGTCTTGTGTACTTAATTAACCGGATCAATACTTTAATATGACACTATGACTCTGATATCATATTAACAAGGGATTCAAACTTTCAACCTAAAACTAATTGGTATTAAACACAGAGACCCTTGACCCTTATAAGCCAAGTGAGTTATGGGACATATTCAACAAACTCGACCTAATCAAGAGGCAATATATATCTTAAAAGAGGAATACATATCTATACATTGATGTATATATGCAATAAATTAATGTATGGTTATATTATCCCATGCGTGTATGTGATTGAGATGGGAAGATAAAAGAGTTGTGGGCGATGATTTTATTTGATGTTATTTAATTAGGGTCTATGCCACTATGGTGGATGAAGGAATTGGTCATTGGTGAATCTGGCTGTTGCAACGCTCTGTGATTGAGGGCTCTAATTTTCTTTGTGGGAATCGTCGTTTTCTTGAAATGGCAAAAAGGACACCGCCAGATTGAATAATTAACACTAACACTAGCACTAGCACTTGCCTCCAGTGTCCTTGCCGCCATGGCCATCTGAGGTATTCTTCCGATCATCATTTCATGTTCATGTGCGAGTAAGAAGATGACGACCACAAGCTGCCAGAAAACAAGCCAAGAGGTTGGTCTCTTCATTTCAGCAGTGCTTGATCGAGGTGTATGTATGTATGTAAGTATCTCTGTGTGTCTTTCTACAAGCTCAAGCTGGATGTTGTGCCAGCAATGGAGCTGAGGTAATGCTCTCTCTCTCTATAGATATATATATAGAGAGAGAACTATTGAATGAGGGTGGGGGTGGATGGTGGTGATCTTATAACAGCATAATTCAATTATGGTTTTTTCATTATCGCACTACGACCCTCCATCAGCAATTTCTTTTATTTACTTTTCCATTTTCTTTCAATCTTTTTCGACTACCTTTAGTTTTAATCCAAATTCATGGAAATCAAATGAACAAATTAAATGGTCGATTATTTTAATCCAAATGCGAAACCAACCATAGTTTCTTTTGGTGTTTTTCATTGATTTAGTCTGACTTGGTGTGGTCATGGTTGGCTGCCCTTGTTTTCCATGGCGCAACATCACATTTATTTATGACGTGGGACCTGCAGCTCAGTTGAACCTAATACCCTGAAAATTGGTCCGACAGATAAGTCACAACCTAATACCCTGAAAATTGGTTCGACAGATAAGTCACACTAAACGAACCATGTGCTGTAGATGACCTGAGGCATCGAGAGTTTGAACCCATCACCTCACGGTCACAAATTCAACCCCCACGCCACCAGACTATCTCTTACCAACACATTTTTTTTATTTTTAAGTGTATGGCAAGATAATTTTGCTTTTGGACTTCTCCAAAAAGACTTGGTACTAATGAAGTAAGATATAAGACTTATAAATAATGAGTTTTTTTTCTAATTTTTGAATGTCTTCCATTTCAATAATTCTCTTCTTAAACCAAGGACTATATAAATGAGCTTCTTTTTCATCATATTCATATGATTTTATCAATAAAAGACTTGATGTCTGATCACAACTATCAAAACAATCATCCAACCGACCACTACAACACTAAGAAACTTTTGACATAAAGCATCGCCTCAAGTTTTCAATCACAAGATCAACGACGGCATTCCACTACTGACGATGTCGAGTCCACTCCACCAACTAAATCCCTCAAACTGAGGTATCATACTAGATATTCGGCTTCCTTGGAAAAAAGTATGATAGGACTACCATGCACCCCTGACATACCTAAGCCGGGTGTTTCAAAAATTGATAGGTAGAAATTGCCAAAATAAATATGATGTAATTATGCGCTTTTTTTGTTTTTTTTTTTTTTTAAGAAAGTTAACCATTCATTAAATTTTTTTTCTTCAAAAATATCAAAGCAAATATCTCTTCTTTATTTTTTTATATTATATCAATACTTATTTATATCACATCATACAACTATTCAAATTCAATTTTTTTAAAATCCAAACCCCCGAGCAAATACACCCTTATGAGGTGTTTGGTACAAAGAATGAAATTGAAAATGAATTGGGTATCTCTTATTTGGTAAAATAGAGAATTTATTTGAGAAATGTAAAAAAATTACAGCTATCATGGATCGAATATAAATAAATGATTAATCGGACAAAAGAAAGTTTTAACGAGTAAGAATTCATGAAGAAATAAAAAATTATCAAAATTAAATAGTAAACAAAAGAAAAAAGAAAAGAAAAATATATATACCAATATTCATTTATCTCCATTATTTTGGATATAGCAGAAAAATAAATAAATAAAAATAATTTATTTCTCAAATATTTCTCAAATAAGAGAAATATTTTTATTTCTCTACTATCAATTTTGGATTGTTTTGATTTCTTTCTATATATACTTGTTGAACTTGACTTTGAACTTTTTTCTTTTGTTTCCCAGAGGTTTCATTTTTGTGCTTTCTTATTCAAGTTTGATGAATTATTCTATGCTTACGGAATTGATATATATACAAAGTTGATATCTTCTCTTTAGTTACATAAATAAATTTATGCTTTTTTCTAGTATTCACTTGATTTTATTTTTTATTTTTTACATAACTTAGTAGAGCACTTGATAGTTGATACCCGTTGTATTTAAATTTCGAATCTCGAGTTTTGCATGTTTAGTCTGAGAAGAAAAAGTTCATCAACAAATGTATTTAGGGTGAGTTTTTGAAGGGGTTTAGGGAAATTTGGGTTTATGTTTGGTTTTTATTTGAATTTTGAATTGAGTTTGAATTTATGTGTTGTGTTTAGGTTTTGGTTGAGTTTGGAGAGTTTTATATGTATTGATTTGATGATAATAAATATAATAATATAAATGTGTATTAATTTGTACAATCTGATTATAAATTTATATTATATCTATCTATATATATATATAATTCTAAATTCTAACTTTATTTGTACTGTAAAAAATTATGTTCTCTATAAAAGGACATATATTGTATGGCAATGTAATTTTTTAAATTTTATTTCGGTTCAAATTATTTACAAATATTACAAATATTTTTGATTAATCAAAAATTCAATTAATTCAGATACGGTTCACGATTTCGAATATTTATTCGGTTCAATACGGATATGAAATATCTGCATATTTGTAAATAACCGAACTCTGTCCAACCTAGTGATATATATAGATACCTAGTGATATATATAGATAGATAGTGCGTTTGGAATGAGCTTGTATCCCAACAATTACTTATGAATGCTCCACTCATCTCCAATGCTATAGCAACTTTAATTTAATTTGGTTGGGGATACATCATTGTTTTGTTTGAAAATTAAATTTGAATGCAAAATATTACTGCATCTGTCTCGGATATTTTGTTCGTGATATGTAGACACGATAATTTAAGAGGAGCATAATTAGTAAATAATTAAAAATATATTAGTAAAAATAATTATCCTATAATAAAAATAATTATAGATTAAAATTAACATAATTCATTAGTATAATTAAAATTGAAAAAATTATAAATTAAATTTTTAAAAATAAGATTAAAGTGTATAACTATTTTTCAAAAAAAAAAAGTGACAAAATAAGTAGGACGGACGAAAATGATAAAAATGGACATAAGAAGTGAGGCGGAGGGAGTAGGATTTACTACCTGTTGTTTTCAACTTTTTTTTACGTTGAAATATATTTCATGCCAATTATGTATTTTTCAGATCTAATTTTTGTGTCTCGAGTGAAAAATAAACCTTATCTGGTGACTTAAAAATAAAATGGCATTGATCTGAACCTAATGCAAAAGAATTAGCTGAAACCTAATATAATTCGGAATAAATTATATAACATCCCTTTGTCTTTTGGTAAAAATGTTCAAAATACTTTGTGTTTTATTTATTGTATAAAACTCCCTTATATTAATGTAAAATTTGCACGAAATATCCTCTTTGTCCAAACATCTACTTTTTACTTGTGCAACTTTGATTTTGATTTTTTACTATTCCAACAATTTTTTTCTTCCAAAAATATCAAATCAAAATACCTAATTTTTATTTATTATATTACACTAAAATCTAATTTTACATTCAAAATATCACATCAAACAACTATTTCAATTCAAAATTTTACTATTCAAAATCAAAACCCAAAATCAAAATCTCACAAATGAACACATGTTTTATACATTTTTACTAAAACACAAGAATTTCATACAATAGATAAAATATAAGGTGTTTTATGTATTTTTACTAAAACACAAAGTGGTGTAATATAATTTATCCACAATTTTATTTGAACACAAATACAAATAATATCTAAATATCTACATATATGTATCACAATTTTATTTGAACACAAAATATCTAAATATCTATATATATATATATACACGTGTTGACTGAATCAAATCAGACAATGTATAAATGACAACACATGATAATAAGCACATACTCTTGCTGCATTTGCAATATAATATACAATACAATATATTATTACACAATAAGCATATACATAGAACTAAATACAATATATAAACCAATGTCTCTAATCAGCACATTACTGATTTGACTCAATCAACATCATTTTCTTTGAAAAGAATAACTCATACCACGAAGACATAAAGGTTGTGTTCTTTTGTGAATTTTATACAAAATTTTTACTATTCAGACTTTTTTTTCTTCAAAAATATCAAATCAAATAAGTACTTTTTTTATATTATACTATAAATTTATTTTAAATTCAAAATATCACGTCACGGTCTATTTATATCACGTCAAACAACTATTTAATTCAATTTTTTACTATTCAAAAATCCAAACCCCAAAACCCAAATCGACAAACAAACAAACACACCCTAAATAAATATGTGAAGGTCAAATTCATGTAAGAAATCACTTAAAAATCCATGGAGGATGGATAGATGTATGCAACAAATGAAGTGGTGAATAACACTTAAGAATGATCAATTAATATTAGTGTTATTGATATTTGAATGCCACCACACTCATTCTAGTTTCATACTTAACAACAAACACCACACCCATCACTGGATCAACTAACATATCAGATGATGATGATTATAATTAAAGATGGGACAGTCAGCATTTTATACCTGTAGAAGAAACCTTGGATTCAGACTCGGGTTCCCGGTATCTCCATTGTCATTTCCGATGCCTGTCAAGTTTCCATTCAGAAACAACGGGTGTGAAACAGGATGTAGTTAGGAGGGGGCAGTAGTAAAGGCAGTGTAGTTGAACATACGTACATACGTACTACACCAACAAACCAACCATCACCTGCCTCGTATGTTGGCAGGAGATCGGATACCCTTGTTGCTGCAAACATCATCCTCTGCTTCCAGTCCATCTACGCATAGGGCATTGTTGTTGATGCTCAAATCGGAGCTGCAGTTACTGCTTGTGGCCAGTGGAGAATCTGAGATGCTGGCTGTTCTTCGGTTCCCTCCGGATGATCTGACACTATAAATGGACGATGCAGGTATGTTTGTCATCAGAGGTCGTAGGTTCCCTGTACGCCTAATATCCTGCAAATAATATATATATACAGTTGACGATGTATTATGCTACAAATCAGAAGATATCTCCGGTGAAGCAGCTTCAAAATATGGTGCAAGAACCAACACACAGTACAATGCATACATTATAATGCCAAGGATACTAATGTTTGGGGGATTTTTAAGGATTTCCATTATTTTTCAGAAATTTTTTCTCCAAAAACACCAATTCAAACAATTTTTTTTAAAAAAATTTTATATCATAGTTGCACATTTAAAACATCACATCAACATTGATTTATATCTCATGAAACAACGGTTTCAATTCAAAATTTTACTATTCAAAATCTAAACCCTCAAACAAACACACTTAAAATGATTAATGAGCGATTTGACATGTTCGATTAATAAAAAATGAGATTAGTAGCATACCATATGCCTTATCGCCATGTCTAGAGATTTCTTAGACAGTGACCTTCCAAAACCCGAGCTGTCAGGGGAAGAAGACTTTCCGGAGAAGTTGCTGTGAGGTGAGTGCCTGTCATCTTGCTTGGGTGGGGCGAGTTTACGCATATTTATCACCCTTTCAACCATTTTAGTACCAACAAGAACAGGACTCACGTTGTCATTGGCTTTAGCATACAACCGATTTGCAGCAGGCACCGGCACAGAGCTTCCACTGTTATGAATAATGCCATTAGGAGGTCGCCCTCTTGCAGGAGAACATGACTGTCGTCTGACTCTTCCGTTTGAAACAGGTTCAATAGATGATGATCGAGAACTTGGAGCGCCAGGTCTACCTCGAGTAGCTGAAGGTGGCCTGTCGGGGAGTGTGGTCCTTAAATTTGGCGGAGCATCAAGGGAGAAACCAGGCATCTCAGATGGCTTCCACGGTGTGCGCTTTACAGTTGGTGAATTAGACCTGGCAGGCACAGCAGTTTTCACTGCAGAAGCAACTGGTTTGACGAGCGATGAGGAAGTTAGAGACTTGACTGAAGCAGAAGAGACACTTGCCCCGCTGGACACTGATGCCGGCCTCCTAGTTGGAGTCGAGGCCCTAGATGTTGGCTTAGGAGCAGGTACAGAGGATCTGCTTGTTGGTGTTGAAGATCTTGCAGTGGACCGTGTTGTAGGCGTAGAAGATCTTGGAGGAGCTGATGGCTTTGTTGAAGACACTGTGGGGCGAGAAGTAGGTGTGCTGGATCTAGAAGGTTTTGCAACCACAGTTGATGTGACCTTAGATATCGAGTTTGCCATAGGTTTAGCAGCTGCTGCAGGCTTATTTAAAGATGAAGTTACGGGCGATCTGGATGTTGAACCCACAGTTGGGCGTCCGGTAGGTGTTGCAGGTCTTGACCCAGGTCCTCCAGAAGAAGAAGGCCGGCGAAGTCTTTCGCTTGAGGTATTCAACCCCTGTGATGGTGTTGGTTGTCTTGATAAATTGCTTCTTGCAACAGGCTCCAGCTGTGGATTGGCAAGCTTCAGACACAGGAGATTGCTGATTAGTAAAGAATTAATGCTATCAAATTGGATGTTTCAAGAATCATGGGAATTAATGTTCTATTTCAAGATGGCTTCTAAAGTTTGGAAACTGAATCAATTTTTGCTGTGCATGAAGCAATTATCCATTTATATTGAATTGTAACAAGACACAAAATAACAAATAATTCTCGACTTACTCTGGATTTCAGAGTCGTAGGGCGAGCTGTTGGAGTTTCCATTTGGCTCATAACAGTTCTTTGCGATTCCTTTTCCAGTGAAGGAAAAAGAGGAGTGCCAGGAGGAGTCAAAAGCCTAAAACACAAAACGATACATGTAAAAATACAGTTCCAATATAAATAAATACCATGCAAGCAGAATGGAGAACTGGAAATTGCAGTAGATAACGACACAATAACCAGAATCCAGGCCACATTAACACAATAATCAGCAATCATTAGCAGTACACAAGGTATTGAAATTTGTAACATAACAAGATTCATTATCCACGAGTGTAACTTAAGCCAAAAACAAATCTTAAAAATAATCAACACTTTTGTGTCCATAGAAGATATAACTGGCAATAGAAAGGGGAAAATTTTTCATTATGAACTGAAAAATCGAAAATCTTAAATTACATTAACAGCCATAGAATATATATTCCATCTATTTTAGCACTTCATTGTGATGAACATGAATGCGAAGCAGTGGTGATAAAAATACCAACAGCAATGGTACTACTTTATCCAGATCACAAAATGCAACATAAAATGTACAAACAGTATGAAAACTTCGGCATCTCACATCCAGGTAATAGACTCTGTTTAAAAGATTAAGTGATCGAAAAATGAGATACTTTTAACTCCAAAATTCAGTACATTCAGTTTCTAACATAATAGCCATATGTAGGAGACTAGAAGGACAGTTGATGAGATATTGAATTCAGTAGTAGTCCTTTAACTTGCATAAGTAAGCTCAATAGATAATCAAGTTAATTTTCCCAGCTTTGGATTTTTAACAATTCTTCTTCCCGATAACTATATCAAAGTGAAATATAATTTATTATGTCTTTACCGAACCTATTTCACACTTTATGAATTTTCCAAATGCAGATCGCCTGCCTTTAATGAAGCCAGGTCCTTAAAAAACACAGACCAGAATCATTCATTGTAAATTTCCAGGAATTCCCTATTGTCATATTTGTCTATATGAATCCAAATTACTAACAAATGTATCAATCACGCATAGGTCGGGCACTAGAGACATAAAATCCCATTCTATGTTATCACTATGTGTAGCATGTACCACACATGGCACATGCATGTCCGTCTGAAAAGGTACACATCACAATTCTTCTAAGAAAATGCATATAAAGGAATTGGACCACCAAAAAGGAAAAATGAAAGATAAGAACTTGATCCCAATCTCATGCTAGCAAACGAAAACCAATCTTATGTGCAGAAATTGACCCATCACAAAGCAAAAAGAAAAATAATCGATGAATTGGTTATGCATAGGAATACAATATACAAATTGAAGAAAACCGAAGATACAATAAGCAGGTGTTGCATTACTTTAAAGATAAGTGATCGCCATCAAACTGTGCTCATCATAACATCAAAAGAGAACATTCCTTCAGCTTTAATTTAAAGTTTTCACATCTTCGTGGGACTCCAAATGCATAAAGTTGAAACTTTCACAACCAACAAAAGAGATATAAACAGCTGGAAGTCCATAAAGTAGTAATTACCAATCATAGTCATTTTTATCATAGTCGGAATTAAGAAAATCATCAGCACCGGATTTCCGAACAGGTGCCGGGATGCCTGAGGTTATATTAAATATTGGAGAACTACCAGTTTTGGGTCCTGCAAGCAGTAACACAGATTCAGGTAAAAGGAAAAGGAAAAGAAAAATCATTACCAAAAGTAGAATCAATAAATTCAAAAAAGTATATATAGAGCAGCAATTATCAATACAAGAATCTGCCAATTTTCCACATAACCCAGCTTTCAAGCCCTTTTTTATACATATATTTAAAAAAAATAAATCAACAAGTTGCAGATTGAAAAGCGAAATCCACCAAATCGATACCACAAAATTTATAAAATAATAATAATAGTAATCAAGAAACATCATAACATTTACCAAGTCACAACAAACAAAACCACCAGAATTTCAAAATGGATTACAGTGACCTGACAGTAAAAAAAAATCAAAAAAATCAGTACCGAGTGGTGCATCAAACTCGTCGGAATTTTGAAGAAGAAGAAGATCGTTCCGTTCCTTCTCGCGCTTCCGCATTTCCCGAAACAAGGCCAAATCCTCGTCCTTACCATCCTTCATCCTCACACTCCCCATTTGCCCCCTCTCCGAAGCCCTAAGGCTTCGATTCATGCCGAGTTACAGTAAAAGAAAACCACAAATCACAGAGTGTAACCCTAAATCACGCCCTAGCAATGCCCAACCTCGAAAGTGTAGCTTCCCCCGGAGCCACAAAGAACGTCTCCACAATACCTCAAATCCGCGGATCGAGAGTCCAGCCACACCACTAGAAAAATCAACACCAAAACGCAGCTGAAAATTAGTCCGCATTTCAAATCTCCGAGCAACAAAACGAAGATTTTCCTATTTTCCACAAAATAACCGTTCGTAAACCGAGCTAGACAGAGAGAGAGAGAGAGAGAGAGAAGCAAAACAAAACAAAACAAACAACAACAATAAATAAAACAACGCCTGCACTAAAAAAGCTTACATATTTCAAGCTCTGAGCTGAAGGAGAAGAAACACAGCTCAAAAACTCGAAATGCACCCGACAGATCTCTGCAAGCACGAAACCCTCAAGAACAACCGCTCGAATGCCGAACCAGAAACATCCATCTAACCACAAGACAGCAAAGAATCCACAATCAGCTTCCAAATGCGGGCGCGGGAGAGAGAGAGAGAGCAAGCAACTCTCCGCCGCTCGGAAATCCAACAAACGGCGGTTTAGTGAGAGGCGGAGAGAGACAATGAGGCAGAGCGTCACGGGTCGGGACGGGAGTGGCAATTATAGCGATTTCGATGCAAGATGGAAATGGAGATGGAGATGGAGATGGAGTCAAGTCCCTTTTCAAAGGGGAACAAACACAAACCATTCCAATTCCTCCTTTTAAATAAATCAAATCAAAACAAAAACATCTCACCCAATTTCTCTCACCTGCCTCCGCTATTTTTTTATTTTATTAGAAATATTTATTTGAAATTTTTGAAATTTAAATAATACTACTATTAAAAAATTACTATAGATTTAATTTAATATTTAGTTTTTAAGAAATTGCTAATAATACAAAATCAAACAGTTACAAAGAATATTAGGTTGTGTTTGGTATAGAAAAATGAGGCCAGAAAAATGAAAATGGTATCATTTTTCTTGTTTGTTTGAGTCAGAGAAATAGAACTTGAGAAATAAATTATTTTTATTTCTCTATTTTCATTTGTCTCCCGTATGCAGAGAAATGATGTTGCAATATATGTTTTTTTTTAATTTTTAAAATTTTTTGTACTATTTTTAAAGTATTTAATTTTTACAATATTTTAAGAAATTGTACTAAAATATAATCTTAAAAAATATCGTATATAATTTATAATTTTTTCAAAAAAAAAAATTACCAAAAATATTTTTCATGAATTTTGATTCGTTAAAACTCTCTTTTTATCGGATTAATCATTTATTTTTGTTTGCTCATTCGTATATCTGCATTTTTTTTAGATTTCTCACGTGAATTCTTTGTTTTATCAATCAAGAGAATTCTCATTCTCTATTCAATTCCATTTCTCTCCAATTTTATTCTCTACTCTATGTACCAAACGCCCCTAGATTATAAATGAGTTTTTGAGTGGAGTCTTGTTTGTTTGTTTGGGATTTAAATTTTAGATAGTAAAAAATTTTAAACTGAAATAACGAATACGATGTCATATAAATATATATTGATTAGATATTTAAATGTAAAATTAATTTTTAATATAATTTTTAAAAAAATTGATTTGGGGTGTGTTCGTTTGATGGATTTGGATTAAATTCCACTATTCATCCAAAATTTTCCCCCCAAAAACATCAAATCAAACACCTATTTTTCATTTTTTATATTATACTAAAAATCAATTTTACATTCAAAACATCACATCATCACCTATTTATATAACATCATACAACTATTCAAATTCAAAATTTTTACTATTCAAATCTCAACTCAAAATTCAAACCCCCAAACAAACACACCCTTGATAATTTTTGGAAAATATTTTTGATGAAAAATAAAGATTTTGTAAAATTTTATAAGAGAACACACTTTTTTTTATCGTTGTGGTGGGCTTGGTAACTAGTATTTGATTGGACTACATTTTGAGTCTATTTGGTTTTAATTTGAAATTGAAATTGTGATTTAAATTTTAATTTAATTTGCAGTTTAATATGATATTGTATAAAAGAAAATAATGTTTTATTTGTTCATTCAATAAGTTTATATTTAAATTTTATATTTAACATAAAAAAAATAATTTTATATTTGTATAATTTTTTATACAAATATCATTACATTTGTATTATAATATATTAATAAAAATATTTTTATTTTTTTTTTAAATTATATTAAAATTTGATATAATAATTAATATTTAAATACACATGTGTTAAAAAGAAAGATAATTTTGTAAATTGACTGAGTTAATATATATTATTCAAAATATAAAAAGTAAATAGTTAAATTTTTTGTTTGAAACGAAAAACAAACAAACCCTTTTTTTGTTAGTTACACTTTGTATACAACTGATATTCTAATTTTAGAACAAGTTGCACTCATTTTAATTTTTATATTTTTCTTCACAAAGTTCTTAATGGTACAAGAGTAGTATCAATCTCGACATATATTTCATGATTCATATATTTATTCATCATTGTTTTGTTTGTTGGTGGAATCTTCAATCTCCTGGTAGATTTTCTATATTATTTAATATATATCTTTGTAATTAAATTGATGGGAGAAAGGAATTTTTGGAACTAACAATTATAGACTATCCTCCAAAATTGATACTACTCACTAAAGATGAAAGCAAAAAAGATAATCCTTGTTGGAACCTAAAATTCAGAGGCTTCAAGACCATTCGTTGATTTTTCGATATGGGTTCTGGAATTACTTCAAAGAGTTTGTCCGTTGTTGGATTGGGGGCGGCTCCTTCAGTGGAGCTTGCACGGCTTTGATCTTAAACGAGACTTCGAGCCTAAACGACCGATTTCGATGGATTTAAACTAACATCTACTAAAATTCGGATAAATCTACTGAAAAACGGATAAAAACATGCTGGAAAATAAATTAAGCAAGAAATTAAGATAATCTACTAAAATTTATGGATAAACTAGAAAATAAAAGGATAAAAGACAATAAGGATAAGATGTATGATTCTTCTCGTCGTGTGTTTTGTTTTTATTTTCACTATATTTATTATAATATCAAATAACTACCTATTTTACTAAAAAGGCAGTTTTACTTATTCCTTCCACTACCTGCAACTGTCTAGTAACCTAATTCCACTGCCTGCAACTGTCGGGTAACCTCCTTCCACTACCTCCACCTGTCTGGTAACCTCCTTCCACTACATCCACGTGTCTGGTAACCTCCTTCCACTACCTCCATCTATTTGGTAACCTCCTTCCACTACCTCCATCTATTTGGTAACCTCCTTCCACTACCTTCAACTACCTGGTAACCTCCTTCCATCAGCTCCTAACCGCTTCCATTGTCTTTGGACCGGGTTTCACTTGCTCTGAACTTCTTTCATTGCCTCTGGACCGGATTTGTCGTTTACCCCGACTTGCTTCCTTCATACTCCTAGCCGTTTCACGAGGATGTGTCCCCAACAGCCTTGAGTTACATTGAATCTTCAGTTTTCCTCTTGTTGGCTTATTCCATGGAGCTTTTTGAATAAAGTATGAAAGTGCATAAACCTTCCAATAATGTTCAGTACAAAATTATTAACCCAAGGCCAATGAAAGTAGTTATCTCATGATCTGTGAAAGCTGTTGTTTTGTATCTTGTGGAGGCAACCTTCCTCTAATTTGTGGTAGCACCGCAGTCCAATTGAGGTAGTTGTTTTCAACCCAATTGAGACAACAATTTCTGTCTTATGGAAACATTGTTCTAGCATGGAGGCACCATAGTCCAATGAGTTTTTGCCCTAAGATCCATAGAAGCTGCTGCTTTCGGCCCTGTGGAAGCACCACAATCCAATAGAAATTTTTGCTTTCGGCTCTGTGGAGGCAACAGTCTATGGCTCCGAGGCTTGAAGCTTCAAGCTGTTTGGCGGCTCCGTGACCAAGGAGTTCTAGCTCCACTTTTACCTTTGAGTCTGCTTCACGTTCGGATGTTTTTGAACCCACGTCCAACAATCCTAAATAGAAAGAATGAAGAATAAAGACTCAATGCTCCGTTCATGCCTCATTACATCAACCTCTAGAGATTGCATTGTGTTGATAGTTGAGTGTAAATGTGCAAAAGAAAAGATAATTTTTTTTTTTGCAGTCAATTAAGGATTGACAGTTTCAATTGAAGGATAATATGAGATCTCTTCAACTTGAGGATCAATCTATAAAGGATTTTCTTAATACTCTTTAAGAAATTTGTGATAATCTTGCTTAAATGAACAAAACTGTTATAGAAAATGATAAGGTACTTCTGTTTGCCCAATGGTTTGGATCTTAATATAAGATCATTAAATCGATCATGCTTGCCAAGTTCATCTTTTAAACTTTTAATAATTTTGTCATGCTATTAAAGCGTGCGATCTCCGTAAGGGAGATGGGTATGATAGTGGAAAGGAAAAACTGATTTAAGATAAATTGTTTGCTTAGAATGCACACCGAAATAATTAAGGTTAAAGAATGAGCTATGAAAAGAAGAGGATGTTCAAACTTTAACTTAATGGGGGATTATTTTAGGCATGTTGCACATAATTATAAGATCGTCGATCCAAGTTTATATGCCAATAAAATTATCAAAATGAGTGATCAATACAATTGAATCAATACGAGCAACAACACCCTCACTCTTTATTTTAAATTTGTTGTCCCCAAAATTATATTGCAACAAATTGGTTTTACCATTGGGGCTATTTTTACCAAACTCAAGAAACATTACGGAAAACTCCTAATTCTCTATATGCTAGAGGTGGAAGTGATAGCTACATAACTGATTTTGGAGCATCCTCAAACATGGTTTTTGTAACAAGTATGTTATCATATTTGTCTAACTATACGGGTAATGGATTTGTCATTTTGACAATGATAAATCTCTTACAATTGTGTATAATGGTGAATCGAATATTCAAGCACCTAATGCACAGTTGAAATTAAATATTGTACTAGTTCTATCTAGATTAAAGGAGAACCTTCTATCAATAACTCAACTTACAAAGGATAAGTTTTGTATAATTAAATTTATTAATAACGGATTCTTGTCAATGATCATCAGACATAAAAAGTTCTTGGTCAAGAGAAATGAGACGAGATTTTTATCTAATGGAAAAAATTGGAATAAAAGCTTTAAAAGCAGTTCAAACTGAAAAAGTTTTCAATAGCATGTGGCATCTCAGACATGGACAGCCTCACTACAAGTTGATTTATATTTTTAGTTTAAATGAAGGTATTAATGTTAGTGCATAGAATAAGGATTTACCTATCTTTGTGAGTTGTGAGACGAGAAAAAGTTGTCAGTTCTATCATATTCCATCTCAATGCATCTATATATGCCATCATATTATTATTTTTTTAAGAGCAAATATTTCCTTTTTATACATCAAATATATATAGAGACAGCGGCGACACATATATTATTATACTACTTTTAACTTGTTCTTGATCAATGATAGAAAGTTTTTGTCAAATAAATATGAAAAAAAAAACGCACTAAAACTCATCATGGTGACATTGATTAGTAGCTACATTTTAGACCCTTTTTAAGTCCACAATAATTATGGTAACATTGGCCATGAAAATCACTCTTGGATGGAAAATAAGGCAATTAGGTTTTAAAATGTCATTCTCCATGGAGACTTGATGAAGACAAAATTTATGGAGCAACCACTAGGATTTATTCAT